TTCTTCTAAATACCCAATTTTCTCGATTTGTTGCTTTCACGACAAGGTTGTTGTGCCTTACCTCCAGACAGCACCAGAAAAATTCTAACAGCTTTTCTTCTAAAAAGAACATCCAAAATCTAAAAACTTCCTAGCAAACATCAGAGCATATAGCAACATGTTCTGTTTCACTTCCATGGGAGGAAAGATTGACCATTCCCTCAACTCTAGCAGAGGCAGTCCCTATTCCTTCATCATATCCGAACAGAACTATCATCTCTTGGGGAGCTTATTGCCACCTAAAGGATGCCCCCTATGTACTCACAGCTGTATATTTACGACATGGACAATGAAATAAGGAATCGGATGGCAGCAATCAGGTATGTCCCCCTCATGATACTTACGCCCTCCATTATCATGTTGCCCCTACAGCACATTTCACAATAAACCCCTTGGCTCTAAATTATAGGCACCATCTAGACAAATCGGGTGTTGACAACGCCATTGCTATGGACATTAAAGATTGCCTCGACCAGCATAACATCCTGGTCAAGAAATATCGTATGTCATTGGACATCCTTCGCCAAGACAACACTGCCGAAGTTAGGATATGGCTCCTCAGAGAATCAAACAATAGGAATAGAAATTACGAGCTACCCACGGCATCAGAGGTAGCCGCGTTGATAGTAGGAGATTTTGATGAATCATATGTCAATAGAGAGATATAATCATAGAAAAGAAAGTAGGCTCCCTGAAGCACGTCCATGAACTGCACAAGTCGTAATTGCCTCTTCAATATCCCCTTATCTTCCACTACGGTAACAATGAATTTGTACCAAAGACAGAACATAACAATGGATCTCTTATCAGTACCAAGAAGAAAAAGTACCTCACAATATGAGAGTGCCTAGCTTTCAGACTAATGGACAGAAATATAGTGGAGTCCGCATTACTGTAATCAAAGAGGTTATTACAGCAATTCATTGTAGACAGCTTCACAATGGTCTGGAGTGAGAGGTTTGACTACATAAGAAGACACTAGAGAGAGCTTGGGGTTGACCTATACAAAGGACTCGCCAACGCAATAACAAGAGGTGAGACAGACCAGCCTAATAAAGGAAAGAGGATAATCATATCAGGAGGCCTTCCACCAACGTTACTCATGGTGTGGTATATGAGGAGGTCTTTCAGAATGTCCATTCAAAGTGACCAAATCATCCAATTCGCAAACTGCCTTTCAACTTCGTATGATAGCTACCACAATTACATTACATTTAGAACTCTATAACTCTGGGATTAACTTACATTTATGCACTTCAAGCAACCGGATAACCATCTTCACCTTTCACATAACTTACAACTATAACAAGCACAATAATACATAACTCATAAAAAATTACATGCATAGCAACCATCCGTTCAACGCACGGGGAGAAGATCCTAGTTTAAATGATGATGCAATCAATTGTTGATGCATCATGCTTTAAATTTTAATTCCTTACTATAATTATTTTTATACAATTACCTAAAATAAAATCCTACTTGAACAATACCCTGCCAAACTAGAAGATAAAGAAAACAACACTGCAATATCATAATATATGGAATCAAAATGCATAATCCATAAGTTTATTCTCTTTCAAACCTTTTTTTGGGCTACGCATAGGTATCCTCTTATTGGAGGTAATCCTATTTGATGTACTGTCAAGCATTAAATGTTGGCACCCCTCCTAGCGAAATTCAAACATTAGTTTGTTATGTTGTGAAAAACTAGTCTATTATGTTAGACTTAACCCCGTTGGTATTTTCTTTCAAACTTAAAGATAGAGTTCGTTGATAACACTTGAAGCCCAACAATTGCTTTTGGATCTTGTAGGTAACTAAAATAGAAGAAAAGTCTAGCTATATGTGAAGAAGGAGTGGAAGGATGGCAATCGTGGCAGTTAGGAACAAGGGGAAAAAAGCCAAACTCAACCAGTTGGTTTGACCAGAAAACTGGTGAACCATCCTGTAGTCTAATCTGGTTTGAATGTTGAACCACTTAGAAATTGAATCGATGTAAAACCAAAGTGAACCAGTGAAAACTGGTGTGAATCGTTGATAAACCAATTTGGATGATTATATTGTTATTAGTCTTATTTTTTCTCATTTAGCTTCTAGTATCTCAATCATTATAGATTTGAATGAATTTTAATAATGATTTTAATAGTAATTATTACTAATTTTAGTTATTGATGAATTATAATAATCAAAATTTTCAATGTTGTTATACTTTGTCATTGTTATAATCAAATTATTGTTGTATTTTCTTGTATTTTGTTATTAGTGTTTCTTAATGTTGTTATATTTTGTTATTTTTAATTAAATTATATTATTTTAATACGACCAGTTTGATTTTCAATTGACCCTAGTTTTACTGACTAAACCCTGAACCGCTAGTCTACTAAGTGCCTGTTTGGTTGGGCTTTTTAGGGGTGAAAAGTATCTTAAATTGGACAGAAGCCCGATTGGAAATTTGGATGCTGTTTAGATGGGCGATTGGGCAATCTGGCTTTTGTATGAAAAGCTACAATAAGCTATAAACTAAAATTAACAGCTTATAACTTATAGTTTTTGAAACATGGAGAGAGAAAAAGTTAAGAAATTTATTATTTCTTTTGGTTTTTATTATAAGCCTCAAATAACTAATTTGTAGATAACAAAAAATCAGTTAAAATTAGTTGAAAGTAATAAATAAGTTAGAAATATACTTTTGTTTTTAAATATGCTCCTAGAAATATACTTTTATTTTTTCATGTTTCACTTTATATTTAAAGTATTTTTTATGATTTCTCTAAAGTTTTAAAATTTAATTCACTCATTAAATTTGACTTTTTCATATTAAATTATTTTAATTTCATTGTATAATATGAAATCATTTTTTTAATCATGTTTCATTATTTATTAAAACTCATACCCATTTTGGTCATTTTACAACTAAACTTACTTTTACTCAATTATAATCCAAACAACCCTTTGTCAATTTCATTTTTGCAAACTAATTTTTCTTAACTCCAATCCAAACACAATTCAGCTTATCCAATTTAGCTTTTACCTAACTTCACTTTTTTATAAGCCAAATTGATAATAAACTATTTTTTTAATTACTGATCCAAACAGACCCTAACTTAATTGGTTTAGCATCTAGTTGGATATCTTGTTCCTTGGCTGCAAATGAGTCTGGATCCACAGGCATTGCCAAAAAAGAAGAGAAGACGTGTGTTTTTGTCTTTTTACCTCATTTATTTTAATTTTAAAATATAAAGATATTATATTAAAATTCAAGTATGGTTTGTTAACGTTTCATTATTCTGTCACTATTTAAATTCAGCAAATCAACATTTTTCATCAATGAAATTACTAATGTTAAAATTAAGAGAATAAAAATAGATTTTATAAATTTAAGAAATTAAACTAAAACATAGTATAAATCTAGAAAATTAAATAAAAAAATCCCTTAAGAAGACACTTAAATAATCTAAATTCTTATATAGATCATTGAATTTATCAAATTTCTAATTAGGTCACATAACTCAAAGAAGAATTTTAAAATTTTATGAAATAACTTTAATGTCATTTTCATTAGAAACCTAGAGAAATGATAATTTTATATCTAATTTAGAATTGAAACGTGTTAATTGTGTAATTGAACTTGTTAATTTTCAAAGTTGTATCATGATCACTTTTTATTGGAAGACTTATTATAAGTGTGTTTTGGAGACAGGAAATTGTTAATTTAAAATTGAAATATGTGAACTGTGAAATATAACATGTTACTTTTTAAAGTCATATTGTGACCAAGTTTTATTTAGAGACTTATTGCAAGTATGTGATGAAGACAAAAAATTGTTAATTTAGAATTAAAATGTGTTAACTGTGAAATGGAACACGTTAATTAAGGATTCTCTTTTAGTTTCTTCTAAAATGGATATTAGAGTTATTCCATAAAATTTTAAAATTCTTTTTTTGGGTCATGTGACTAGATAAGGGTTTAACAAATTTATGTCCCAAATAAAAATTTGAATTATTTAAATATTTACCTTATTTTAGCGTTTTTTTTTGGGTTTTTTTTAAGTCAAACTATTATTTAGAGTGAAACAACATATTATTTTTTGTTCTTGATATAAGATTTGGTTTATAATTTAAGTAACAATCAAAAGTAATATGTATATAGTGTTTATGTATGTGTATATATATATGTTTTCATACTTCATATACACATGGGATGTAAATAAATTATGTTTGGTACAAAAATAAAAAGGAAAAATTATTATGCAGAAATAATTTTTTTACAATATTTATATTAATATTATTTCATAATAATATTTATGTTTTTGTCATCTTTTAGAAGGAACGCAATTATTGTTCCCATCACGATGTAATTATGTAAAATATAAAATTTATTTCCACCCAGTAAAAATTTAGTGACAACATAAAATATTCAATATAAAAGTAGTAGTACTACTTGTAAATTATGATAATGAAATATTCAAAATGAAAAAGAAACCTACTTAAAATAAATAGTTAATTGATAATTAGTAATATATTTGAACAATAAAATTGCATAAAAATAATTTTTGTGGAAGAAAAAATTTATAAATTAAGTCACGAATGTTTTAGTATTAGGACATATTTCAAGAATTCCAACCCATGCATCGATATTCTTGACAAAAAAAAAAAACAAAAAAATATTCTTTCGGTCCTAAATATAAAATTATTATTCACATTTGTATAGGGGTTTTATATTTAAAACCGGAGGAGTACATTACAAGTGTTAATATTTATATAATCAATATTATTAATTAATATAAATATAAATATTAATAAATCTCAAAATCCATCAATAGGAAACAACACCTGAATGTTATCTTTTTTTTTTAAAGAGCCTAATATTTAATATAATTTGTGTTTTTCCCATTTTTGCTGACCCCCTCCCTGGCGCCCTCTCTCTCTCTCTCTCTGTGTGTGTGTGTGTGTGTGTACGCTATAGTCCGCCACAAGAAAGAGGCTCTTAGGCTAATCGATTCATCATCTTCCCCTTCCTCTTTCTCTCTCTACGCTGGAGGTCGAGGAGCTCTGTCGCTCTCCTCTGAGTTCTCTCTCCCCCTCCCCACCGCCAAAGAAACATCTTCTCAGCTTTGATTTGAAATTAGGTACTCTTTTGGGGTTTTCTGACTTCCCCCCTTCTTAACTCTCTTTCGGTTCACCCCGTTCTAGTTTTGCTTTTTTTAGCATCTTCCCCTCTATCTTACTTTGGATCTACTTCAGATTTGACTCTAATCCATGTTCCTTGATCAAGATCGAGGTTTTAGTTCCTATCTGTCCAGAATAATGCCTTTTCTGCTCGAGTGACTAATTTGAACGGTTATCTTACTTTTTGTTGATCTAACAAGTCGAATCCTGTCTGTATTTTAAATCTGTGGGAAAGGTTTTGATTTCATATTGTTATTACCTAACATTTCAGGGGTAGGGTGTTCGGGAAAGTGGAAGGGATTGCATAGTTTTGTTAGTTGTTTATTGCTGTTAATCTTTACTAATCTGATCACAGCGCGCATGCAGCTAATTTTAAATTGAATTCACTTGATTTGCTAATTGGGTTTTATGTTTTCTTACTTTTTCCGAAGAATACTACCATATATTTGTCCACCAGGAGTTTGAGGTCCCTGTAGGATAATTTTCTCGTTATACTTCATTTCTGATTTTTTTTTTTTTTTTTTGGGGTGATGTGTTCGGCTAGCGGAACTATTTTACTGATCAATGAACCCATTTTGTTTATATTAAGGGTAAGCTAATGCTCATGGGGAAAAAAAAAAAAGGTGTAGGCTAATTAAATTATGATTCCTTAACTGCTAAAATTTTGCTTGTTCATATATTAGTAATAATTCAGTACAATTTCTACGTCTGACTGCATCAAACTGACCGACAAATTCCTAATGTTTCCTGGGACAGGTTCTTGCTTTCTTATTATTGAAGAAACTACTAGTTAAGTTATATTCGAGTGCTGAACAAGGACAGGATGCTAATAAATATGTGTTCTCAGTCATGTATTCGGTCAATCTGATATCAATTGGAACAGTTTGGTATTTCTGATGGACTCAAAAACTAGTGCTGGAGCTGCCTCCAAACAGCATCATAAGATAGCTGCTGAACAAACAGTAGAGGCAAAAGACATCCAGCCTTCTCCATCTCTGGTTTCAAAATTAGGTAAACTTGAACTGGGTACTCTTGAAAGTTCATCAAAATCCGTGCAGAGCACATCGAAGCAGAACATTGGAGAAACTTCTGAAAGCAAGAAGGCTGGAATTTTAAACCAAAAGGGGCTTGCCGAGTCCTTAAGTAATAAATGTGGTTCTGTTGCTTTCTCATCTGTCCTTAGGCAGGCATGTGGAGGAGTTGACCATGCTATTAATGAAAATAGGGGGTCGCAGGATAGTTCTATTGATCAAGAAAAGAAAACATCAGAGTATGGAAGTGTGAAGAACAGCTCTGTTTCAGCTAAAGTTAGTGATGGGGCAAGCAGTTTTGGAAAGACCAGTGTAAGTGCCAAAGTCAGTGATCGAGCTGATTATGTTGAGAGTGGGAAGAGCAGTATCTGCAGAGGAAGCACAAGCAGTGATGTCAGTGATGAGAGTACTTGTAGCAGCTTTAGTAGTAGCATAAACAAACCTCACAAGGCAAATGACTTGAGATGGGAAGCCATCCAAGCTGTTCGAGCTAGAGACGGGATGCTGGGTTTAGGTCACTTTAGACTACTGAAGAAGTTGGGCTGTGGGGATATTGGGAGTGTGTACCTCTCAGAGTTGACTGGAACTAAATGCTATTTTGCAATGAAGGTAATGGACAAAGCATCACTAGCAAGTCGTAAGAAGTTGCTTCGTGCTCAGACTGAAAGGGAAATACTGCAGTCACTGGACCATCCTTTTCTTCCAACATTGTATACTCATTTCGAGACAGACAAGTTCTCATGCTTGGTGATGGAATTCTGCCCTGGTGGAGACTTGCATACACTTAGGCAGAAACAACCAGGAAAGCATTTTACTGAGCAAGCAGTAAAGTACGTATAAGTTTGGACTCAAGTTTTGTTTGCCCTTTGCATAAGACATAAACATGTTCTTGTTTTGCTCACTTCTGATTGCTTCTAAGTGGTCTAATTTTCTGTCACTTGTGATTGCTTGTAAGTGGTCTAGTTTTCTGTCACAATAAAGTGCTTGATTGCTTATTGATGGTGCTTAAGTGGGATGGGGAACCCTTCCCCAAAAGCTAGCTATTGCGGTCGAAGAACCAACCCATTAAAATAGCCCCACTGAGCATTTCCTACTATTCAATGTGAGATGTAACATCCCGTCCTGCTAAATCTCCTATCCACCCCCTCCAAATGGAAAGTTGATATCTCATTGGTTACACTCCATGACCAAATTTTGGATACCATAAGCACTTAGCTTTAGAAGCTATCTAATATTGTTTTTTTTTTCCCTCAATGATAAAAAGGCCACCCAAATTGTCATGGCGCACCATGACAATTGAGAGGCCCAACACACAAACCAAAACTCAAAACTACAAAACTTAAATCCGTAAGAAGGTATCTAATATTCAAGTTGACGTAAAATTTTGACTGGTTAGATGCTCTTAGCTTGAAACTAGAATGGAGGCATTACAGAAACATGGCTAACTTAAATAAGCAAATTCAGTTCACCATCACATGGTGCACTTCTCTCTTTTTCCTGAGTAGATTCTTGAATTCTAACGCATACACTTGCTGGGGTAATTCTATGCCTAGATAGATATTAGGTTACTCATGGATTGTTGCAGTCTCTCCTTGCTTGTATTGTGCTTTGGTTATATCATATAGGCATCCAAGGCTAATTATGGAACATTTGATTTTAGGCTGCTACTCCTTCGATCACATTGAGAATATAGACAGTTTGTGATCTTCTTTTTGAGACCTATGAACCTACGAATTTATGTGCATGTCAATAATTATACTCTTTGTAGCACATGGCTGCTCTATGTTAGTCTATATGAAGTTTGGTAATGTAATCGAGGACATTTTGTATATCAGATCTGTGGATGATTACCTTTTTTTGTCATTTCCAACAAATAAGTAAACTTAAAGTGTGCTGGGAACTTGAGTGGTATGGGATGCCCATGGAATATTTAAGTGTGTTGATTTTGCCACCTCAATAGCTGGCTTTGGGGGAGGATTCTCCAATCCCATTCAAGCATCCATCAAAGTAAAAGACAACATTCAACTTTGATGTCTTGGACGATTCCTGTAATTGCAGGATGGGGGAGTGCATATCTGAAGCCAGGATTACAAGATTGGATTGGAACATAAAAAGCCATTATTGCATCCAAAATTAATTACTGGTACCAGTATAAAATATTTTTATGTAATAATTAATGATTAACAAAATTGAAATATTTATCATTCTATTGTTAATAGCTCATTACAATGAAACGTCTGTGTTTTGCTATTCAGTGATTGATTCATCTACTATGACAATTTACTCAGTAAATATGGCTTGGGAGCATGCTCTGATTTGTTGATGTCTTTTTGAGCTGAGGATACTCCTTAAGCCTGGTTTGGGCGGTGTTGAAGGGTAAATTGCCTGATTTTAGCCATGTATCTATTTGAGTTGATAGTGACATTTTAGCTTCATGTCAACTTGCAGGTTTTATGTAGCTGAAGTCTTGCTTGCTTTGGAATACCTCCACATGCTTGGAATTGTCTATCGTGACCTCAAGCCAGAAAATGTCCTTGTGAGGGATGATGGACATATTATGCTCTCGGACTTTGATCTTTCCCTCCGTTGTGCTGTTAGTCCAACTCTCGTTAAAACCAATTCAGCAGAATCAGAGCCTTTAAGAAAGAATCCTAATTATTGTGTCCAGCCAACTTGTATTGAGCCTCCTTCCTGCATCCAGCCATCTTGTGTTGCTCCCACGACATGCTTTTCACCCCGGCTCTTTTCTAGCAAATCAAAGAAGGATAGGAAACCTAAGACTGAAATTGGAAACCAAGTGACTCCATTACCTGAGCTCATTGCGGAGCCTACAGATGCTCGTTCTATGTCCTTTGTTGGAACCCATGAGTATTTGGCACCTGAGATTATAAAGGGTGAAGGTCATGGGAGCGCAGTTGATTGGTGGACTTTCGGAATCTTTCTATATGAACTGTTGTTTGGTAAAACCCCTTTTAAGGGATCTGGGAACCGAGCTACGTTGTTTAATGTTGTAGGCCAGCCTCTCCGATTTCCAGACTCACCTGTCGTGAGTTTCGCTGCTAGGGATCTTATGAGGGGTTTGCTCGTAAAAGAACCACAACACAGGTTGGCATATAAACGTGGGGCTACTGAGATAAAGCAACATCCCTTTTTTGAGGGTGTTAACTGGGCATTGATCCGTTGTGCTACGCCGCCAGAGATACCCAAGCCTGTAGAGTATGAGAAGATACCTTCCCCGGCATCTTCAGGCAGTGAAAAAGTGGTCCGTCACATGTCAATTCCTGATAAAGGTTCTGATAAATATCTTGAATTTGATTTCTTTTAGTAATAGACAGTATTTTTCACCCGTTGATACCCTGAAAAGTAGACAGTATTGATTGCAAAATGGGTTCTGTTGAATGGGATGAACTGCTTTTCCAGTGTTTTAGGGACAGGTGATCAGAAATTGTATGTCTGTTTTCTTTTGGCTTTTGCAGTTCAGATTTGCATGGAACAATTAATGCATTGCTTCTCTCTCACCCTTAAAAAAAGCCCCAAGGGCCTAAAACTGAAAGTTTCACCATTCAGCATTAACTGGCTGTCAAGAAGTTTTGGCTGGCTTATGCGTTCGATGCTCCTACGGAGGAATTTGTGGGAATTATGTTACTATTTCATTCTCTAGAATTAGCAAAATATAGTGCTCAATTGGAATGAAAAAGAACTGTAATGTAAAGTTCTTGACATAATTCCTTTTCTCTTGAGCATCTCCATGAAAAACTCGGCATCTCTTCCTCCCCCAATTCAGATATATCCTCACAGTTGACACCAGCAGCATGATATAGACAAAAGTGTTTTTTTTAATCCTTTATTTTTATCCCATGTTTTATTTGTCTTTAACTCTATAAAATATATTTTCTATCTTCTAATTATGTTCAATTTCTTTAAAAATTTTAAATGTTCAAATTATAACATTAGGTTTAATTTTTTAAATTTGGTCCCAAAAATTTAATTTTTAAGAGGGTTAATATAATTTCTAGTCTATGAAATTTGGGTTTATTTTGATTTTGGTTTTTTAAATTTTAAACTCATAGCTTTAGCCTATGAAATTTAATTAAGACGCTAGTTTCTAAAGGTGAAACAATGTTAAAATCTATTAAAATATGGTAAACAAAGTTAAAATGATGATAGGGAGTTACTAAATGACTTTTAGTTGGATCTTATATGGGTACGAGAGGATTAGAAAAAAAGACAGATTTTTAAAACGTAGTTGTTAAGCTTCTTTTTTTCTTGTTTGTTTGAGTTGTTTATTAAATTGTGTTTTGAACAATTATCCCTCATTTGTATAAGCATTCTTCATGTTGCGTTTTGACCAGTTGTTTTTTTTTTTTCTTTTTTTTTTTAATCTATACAAAATTTAGTTAGGTGACATCTGACAAGTCTACATCATTATTTTAGTATTGTTTATGACATTTCAGTGGATTTTAGCACTGTTATACTTTCAAGAATTAATGTTTTAAGACAGATTAAATTTTAGGAACTAAAATCATGAGTTTGAAAATTGAGGGATTAGCTAAAAAATGAACCCAAATTTAAGGGATCAAAAGTTGTATTAATTTTTTTTAAAAATAATAATGATATTGAGTTAGAGAATTGAAAAAGATATTTTATAAAATTAAGAAATAATCTAAATTCTTGCATAAAATTAAAAAAAAACCTAAAATTATACTTTAACGTGGAATAGATGATAACTTTATGAAAAAAATAATTTTTTAATCATTCAAGTTTTAACTCATTTATAACTTAACTCCTCAACTATAACTCAATGCAACTAAGTTGAACTTTTGACTCACATATAACTCAAACCCTTTGTTATTTTTAAAAAAGGTCAAATTTAATTTAATTTATAATGCAGTAAGTGATGCAAACTAAAACTGTTTTCTACTCGGAACCAAAAAAATAGTTGAGTCCTAAGTTAACTAAAATCAAAATTACTATTTAAAAAGGGGTTTTATTGATTTTTCAAATTTAAAGCTATTTTGCCAAAAAAAATTGAAAGCTTTTCTAAATACTTTTTTTTTTGGATTTTCTTTTTATAAAAATAAAGTAAAAAGATAAATCGAAATCTAAATGAAAAAAAATGAGTAAAAGATAACAATTTGTGATGAATTCTCCTTTAGAGCTTTCAACCTCGCTTTTCTTAATTCAAAAGATCTATGGTGTTTTAATTTCTAAATCAATTAATCAGTTTAAGTAACTACTTAGTGTAATTAACCTGTGAAAGAACCCTTCAACCAAAAGAGTTCAGAATAGAATTGACAGCCTTGATTAAGCTCTATTGGAAGAGATAAAACAACTATGCACATTCAAAATTCAACAATCTAATACGCCGTAAGATTAAACAAAAAACTTAACCCAAAAGATTAACATTAAATTAACTCATTCTAATGTCAAACAATCAGGTCAAAAATTAAACAACACAAATTAAGCACACAACTATCAATCTCAACATTCAAATCACAAACTACGCTAGAACTGTAATGTAATAATTCCAGAAACACAACCTAATTACCTAACTAAGATAATCAAAAGATAAAACTAGAATTGGAGACGTAGATGCAGTTAAAAACTCCATAATTAGATTGCTCCAAGCTCTGGCACAGTTTTTGCTCGAAGGGGAGAATCACATTCAACTGCTCATGGTCAAACTGATCACTCCACTAAGCTGAAACACAGCTTTGGCCATGATAGCATCAACACAAACTCGACGAGGAAGAAGGTGACAGAAAGGTAGACTAAATAAGATGAAAACGAAAGTCATGATGGTGATTATGGAGAAGGAGGATGAAGGTTGACGGTGAATGGAGTGAGAGGAAGAGGAAATCGCCAGCGAGTTGACAGAGTAAGGTGGAATTGATGGTGAATGAAGGTTGAGAGAAGGAAAATGACGATGGATGGTGAAGACTGGCAGAGGTGAAGGTCGATGGCCACACCCTGCCTCTTACTCCCCCTGCTCTGTAAAGACAATAATGATCATTCGGTAGTTTTCCCCCAGCCCCTTAGTCTAAACGCAGCGTTTCATGCTTTCTTTTGCTTTTTGTTTTTTTTTTTATTTTGTAGTTCAGCACTGCCTTTTTTTCAAATTCCTTGGTCTTTGAATGGCAATAATTTGGGTACTAAGGTCCTGTTTGGTACGAAGTATTAAAAATAAGGGATAAAGATTGAGATTGAAAGTGTAAAACTATATTAAAAGAGTATTTAGCATGAGTAATTGTATAATACTTGAGATTAGACAAACCCATATATGTGGGATTGGGGAATACCATGAGGGGATGTGGTATTCTCCAATCCCATCTATATGAGATTGGCTAATACCATATGACAACAAATCACTCATGCTAAGCATCTTTTTAACATATATGCTTTCAACCCCAATCCTAATCTTTATCCCTTATTTTTAATACTTCGTATTAAATGTAACCTAAGTGTCAATTTGATTAATCATTCTCTATGATGTTTCCAATTTTGCACAAATGACCAAAATGCCTTGTAATGCCATTTAAAACACTGCAATACCATTTATCTTAATAATGACGAATATAGTGACATTTTTATCCTTTTTCTCATTAATTCGTGTAATTGATCTTAATTAATATTTATTCATTAATAATGTAATTTTAATCAATAAAAACACTAATAAAGCCTAAAATGCATGAATTAATAGATAAATATTAGAACACATCAAATTCCCCACACTTGAGACTTTGTACTCCTGGATAAAGCAATGAAATACAATGAAATACAAGCACTCAAGGGAATTAAGTGTTTCTCTCATCTTTCACAAGTGGGTAATTTCACTCCAACTCCTAAGCTAAGCCTTACCATAAGCTTGTGGAAAGCCTAAATTCTAAATTCTAAATTTTTGGCTTTTTTTTATTTTACTATTTTTTCTGCTTTTTTTTTTCTTTTTGAATATTCACAACTAAACAACCATTTGAGATGAATTTGAATTTCTGCTACTTTTGAGTGCAAATTCCATAATCAATATAATCCAAATTTGGAATGTAAAATCTATATTTTCCATATAATATATTGAACTTGCTTTTCAGGAACTTAATTGAGTGAAAAGTATAACACTAAAATCTCATGGCCGTGCCTTGACCTTCAATGATAAATGACGCCTTAGAGAAAGATGATGAATAAGAAAAAGAAAAGAGTGATGGCCATCGAATTTTACAAGCAGACATGCAATGAGTGAAATTTTAGTGATATAAAAAATGGAATTCAACATTGCAACTCTGATTCATCTCCATCTTAGCCACTAGCTAGCACACCTTGACAATACCTTCTGCTGCATGTGCAACATTCAAACTTTTAAATCACATTTAAATAGTAATTTAAGTAGACTAGCAGGATAGCAACGAGTTAAAACATGTGCACTAAAATTTGCTATGGTAGAAAGTTTTAAAAGCCAAATAAAAACATTTATCAAACCATTGGATCCTACTGTAATAGAAAAGAAGTGAAATCAATTGAAAGCTCTGCTATAGTGAAAAATAACTAAACTTTATATCTCAAAAGCTAAATATGGTAGAAAAGAACAAAACTAACACAATTTGATAAAAGGTTTCCAAACACAGTGGAAGTGAGTGCTAGGGATCCTTGACATACAATTAGGCCTTGGGCATTTGGAGCCCGATGATTCAATAATCATTCCACAAACCTAGACAATAACTTATTTAAAATTCCTTGATTAAAATCCATTATCACAAAATTACAGCAATATGGGCTCTGCCCGTAATAACACAAATTATTGAATATCCCATATATACACTAAAATCAATAGTTTCCAAAAACCGAAGTTCACAATATTTAAGGCATGTAGAATATTCAAATCATATTAAATAGTCCTTATGTCATGGCGAAAGATGATAAGCGCAAGTAAGAGGAACCTAATGAGAGCCTACCACAAGGCTCACCCTCTTCTAACTTCCCTGCAGTCCTACATGCAAACAGAGGTCGAGAACATATAGTTCCAAAATTAAGTTCAACTAGCAGTAATTAATTTATACCAGTTTGTACATAAAACCCTTCGTAAATTAGTTCTCAATTCGGTTACCAAAAATCCTTTCCAAATAAGCCCCCAAATGATTGAATATCAAATATATTTCTCAAATCACTTTCATAAGTAATTTCATAAAACATATATAAACCTTTTTTACAAAATAATTTCACAAAGTCCTTATCATATATCCATCATAAATCACATATATACATGCCAAGTAGATGATTGATGCACAAACCATCCTTATTACCCTTAACCAGCCTCATTAACTCTCAGTGGAATTATAGCTAACAAATGATTTATCCATTTGACTAGATTACACAAGATTCCAAATCATGTGGTGTCACTCAGCCAAGGTCCTAGCTCATCATGTTGGACTATGGCTGCCCTCCTTTTGACAAAACCAAAGAGGTGTCAAATCTACCGAACCCGCTATAATTCCTGGCCAAAAGAAAAAAC